TACAAATAGGGAAGGAAGAAATAGAAGTGCCTTTGTTTGAAGATGACATGATCACCTATATAGAAAATCTGACCCCCTCAAACAAAAATGAAAAAAAAAAAAACTCTCTGGGAACTAATAAGGTTGCAAAATACAAAGTTAATATAAATTGCTGCCCCTGTCCAGTGCAGGCAGCTGAATTAAGGTCACTTGTGTGAATTCCAGGTGACGCAAAATAAAACACAGACATGAAATACCTTTACACAAGCTTCAGGATGGCTTTCTCCGGCTCCTGGCTTCAAGCCTCCCAAAAAAGGAGAGCAAGAGAAAGTCACCAGAGGCTGACCACAGAGAGGGCAAGCACGGTGGGAAGTGGGCTTTTATTTGGGGGGATTCCAAGGAATAACTCCAAGAAGATGTAACAATCCTTAATGCATATATGTTAAACTGTTAAACTGTTAAAAAATAAACTGTTATATGAGACAAAAAGTTCTATCCAAAAAAGGCAGAAGGGGTAGGATTACAAGGGAGCMGGTGAGTGTAACTCAACCCCAGCAGGTACACCTACACCTGAAGCCACACCTTGCTATCCGAACTGGGACAATACCCAAGTCACTACAAAATGTAGTAATTGGTCAGAGCCCCCTGTATCAGAACTTGAAGGTGTGTTCATTCAGAGCAGCTTCCCACAATAAATCAATCATTTTCCTACACGTAAGCAATAAGCAAGTATAATTTGACATTAAAACCATTACTATTTACATTAGCACTCTCCAAAACGAAATACTTAAGTGTAAGTCTAACAAAATATGTACAAGATCTATATGAGGAAAATTACAACCCTCAGATCAAAGATTTCCAAAAACTAAATAAATGGAGAGATTTCCATATTTAGAAATAGCAAGACTCCTAGATGACAGTTCTTCCCAATTTSATCTATAGATACAATATAACACCAATCAAAATTCCCTAAAGTCATTTTGTGAATGCTGACAAATTGATTCTAAAGTATATATGGAGAAGCAAAAGATCCAGGATAGCCAAGTCAATATTGGAAAAGAAAAAAGTTTGGAACTGATACTACCCAACTTCCAAGATTTGCTATAATGTATGATATTGGTGAAAGAATAAAGAAATAGATCAATGGAACATAATGGAACCTATAAATAGACTTGCATGAATACTGTCAACYGATCTTTAATAAAGAAGCAAAGATAATACTAACAGAGCATGGGCTAATGGGCTTTTCAAAAAATGATGCTGAAACAACTGGACATCTATATGCAAAAGTATSAATCTAGATAAAGTAAGATCTTAAATGATTCACAAAAATTAAATCAAAATGGAAAAGAGACCTGAAAGTAGAATGCAAAACTATAACATTCCTAGTAGGAAAATATTTCCAGGGAAATATCTGGACAACGTTGAATATGGTGATCTCCTTTAGATACAACACAAAGCAGAGACTATGAAAGAAATAGTTGAGGGCTGGGGTGGTAGTTCCTCAGTGGTGGAGTGCTTGCCCGGCATGTATGAGGCACTGAGTTCAATCCTCAGCACCACATAAATAAATAAATAAAATAAAGATATTGTGTCCATCTACAACTAAAACTATTTTTTTAAAAGAAATAGTTGACAAGATAGATGGACTTCATTAAAGTTAAAAACTTCTCTGTATAGGAAAATGTCAAGAGAACGAAAAGATGCACTACAGATTGGAAGAAAATATTTGTAAGTCATTTATGGTAAAGGACTAAAGGACTATTATCCACAGTATACAAAGAAATCCTAGAACTCAACARTAGTAAAATGAACAATCTGATTGACAATTAGTAAAAGACCTGAACAGCACCTCATCAAAGAAGATATTCAGATGGCAAGTTAAATAAATGAAAAGATGTTCAACATCCATGTATCATTAGTGCATTATAAATTTAATCAACAATAATATACTATCACACCCATATTAGAATTGCCAAAATCCCAAACACTGGTAACATCAAATACTGACAAGGATATGGAATAAAGAAGAAACTTGAATTCATTGCTGGTGGGAATGCAAACTACCAACACCTAATTTGGAAGAGTCTGGTAGTTTTCTACAACACTAACTATACTCTTAACCATATGATCCAACAATCTTGCTCTTTGGTATTTATCCAACTGAACTTAAAGTTTATGTCCACATAAAAACCTCTGTGTGTGTGTGTGTGTGTGTGCGCATGTGTGTGTGTGCGCATGTGTGTGTATGTGTATGTGTGTGTGCATCCAGACAATGAAACTCTGTTCAGTGTTAAAAATGAACAGGCTGGGGCTGGGGATGTGGCTCAAGTGGTAGCGCGCTCGCCTGACATGCATGTGGCCCGGGTTCGATCCTCAGCACCACATACAAAGATGTTGTGTCCACCAAGAACTGAAAAATAAATATTAAAAAATTCTCTCTCTCTCCCCCCCCTCTCTTTCACTCAATCTCTCTCTTTAAAAAAAAATGAATAGGCTGTCAAGCCATGAAGAAACAGAGAAAACTTAAAATACATATTACTAACTAAAGAAGCCAATCTTCACCATAAGATTTCTACTATATATGATATTTTGGAGAAGCAAAATTATGGAAATGGTTAAGAGATCAGTGATTACCAGGGGTAGGGCGAAGAGAAGGAAGAGTAAGCAGAACACAAAAGATATTTTGGGGTAATAAAACTATTTGTATAATACTACAGTAGTGGACAAATGTCATACTCATCCAAACCCATGGAATGTATAACACCAAGATTAAACCCTAATGTAAACTATGGGCTTTGAGTGATTTTAAAAATGTTTTTTTTGTGTGTGTGCCCACATATAGAATTGCATTAATATAGTAGTCACCATTTAACCATGGAGGRTATGTTCTAAGACCCCCCTCCCCAGTGGATGCCTGAAATCACAGACAATACCAAACCATATATATATATTTTTTTCTTATATGTAAATATCTATGATAAAGTTTAATCTATAAATCAGGCACAATAAGAGATTAATAATAATAATTATAAAAATAGAATAATTATAAAAATATACTGTTATAAATTCTATGTGAATGTGGTCTCTCAAAAATATACATATGTGCATATATACATATAAATACATATATATATAAATACATATATATATACATATATATATAAATACATATATATATATACATATATATATATATATATATCCCCCCTAAGGTTGGGGATCCAATCCAGGGCCTTGTGCATATTAGGTAAACACTCTACCACTGAGCCACATCCCTAGCCCTCACTTCCTTCAAAATATCTTAATTACTCAATGAACTCTAATAATATTTTTAGACTATGGTTGACCACAGGTAACTGAAACTGCAGAAAACAAAACTTCAGATGATGGGACTACTATATAGTTGAAATATAGTCACCAAAAAAAAAGTGCTTAAAGAGAAATTATGTTTCTTAAAATTGGTTACCCCCGCCAATGTTCCAAAAGTTTGTTGACAGCATGAACTACCCTGAAAATTCTTAGTAATTTTAGATTACTTATCTCTCAGACACTAAAACACAAACATAAATAATGTATTAATGAAAATGTCACTACAGTACAAAGTCTTAAAGAATATTTTGCAGCTTCTAGATGTGAGAGGCTAATAATTTTTAAAGGTGTTTGTGCAAATATACTATTTGTAAAAATGTATACCATTTGATGTGCTATCTATTGTATCATTAAAATGATAACACCTTAAAAGAATCCTTCCTAACAGGTGAAGAACATCCTAGGATTCTTTTTCCTTGAGAACCCATTTTGTGATCCATCTGAGAAAAATCATTAAACCTGCTAGAATAATCTTCCAGAGAGACAGTAATAAGTATTAAGAAGTAAAGTCGTGAGGCTGTTGTTATCTTCTATATACCCTGGCTTCTATATACTTTGGAAATCAGTGGCACAAAAGTTGATAGTAAAACATCAGCTGGTAAGAAGTGACGAATGAAATGCCATTTAGTCTATGGAAATTAAAACTTTCTAATAGCAGGGAAGCCCTGGTTTAAGCCAAAATTCAGAATATGAAGGTAAAGATCAGAATTTCAGTCACTCCTACCCTAGACTACCTTAAAACACATAACTTTTTGAAGCAGCACAGAATATCATTTCAAATAAAAGTAGTACTAGGGCTGGGGATAGGTTATTTATAGGTTTCATTCCCAAAGCCGAAACAAGAATATGCATTTTGAGGGGACTAATCCAACTTTTAATGTTTTGAAAAAAAACATTTAAAAACAGAAGTGTTCTTTTAATGGGCTGGAGAAAGCATCCACATAATCCAGAAATCATTTTAAAAGGTGTTTGTTCCATTCAATGTCATCCATCACTAACCAATTAGGTTTTGGTATGTGTGTGTGTGTGTGTGTGTGTGTGTGTGTGTGTGTGTGTGTATGTGTATTTTTTTGTGTGTGTGGGGGTCGAGTGGGGTACCAGGGATTAAAATTAGGGGGTCGGGTGGGGTACCAGGGATTAAAATTAGGGGCACTCAACCACTGAGCTACATTCCCAGCCCTGTTTTGTATTTTATTTAGAGTCAGGGCCTCACTGAGTTGCTTAGCATTTCGCTTTTGCTGAAGCTGACTTTGAACTCTCCATCCTCCTGCCTCAGCCTCCTGAGCTGCTGGGATTATAGGTGGCCCCCGTGCCCAGCAGATTTTGGTATATTTTTGCCTCAACTATAAAATGATGACTGAAGGTCATAGTAACAAGATCATTTCTCTTAGGATGTGTGTAACTTGTGAGATTCATTTTCTAAATCTGATATGCAGATTAAAAACAGTAAGAAAAAATCAAAACTCACACTTTTTTTTGTACAATCAACTCTAATAACTGGTTCACATTGACAAAATTATGAAACAGTAACTCCATATTCTTTGTACAATAAATAAAAATGTAAACACAAATATTACAATACATAAATAGAAGCTTTATACATCCAAAATACAATACATATATAAAATATATATCTAAATTTAATGACACTACAAACTATAATTTTCACTATAAATTACATATTTCAATGTAGAAATATATTTTTCTGACATTTTAAACTTCAAAAACAACTTGTAAGGTGATAGTGTGGAGAATAGTTTTATATACAAAGCTTTGTAGCAGTTAATTATACCTAATAATGGAAGGGCATGACTGTGATAATATGAAGAAAAATATCTCAATTATGGCAAAAGTACTATTTGAGTAATTCAAAGATACAGGGTTCCATTTCTCGATAGATGGTAAATACTTTTATTTTAAAAGGATTCAAAGGATTTTGAACATCCTGATGTTTTAAGCATCAACTCTATGGAGCAGACTGAGTCAAACTGTGGGCTTTTCATAGTCAAATTGCTATATTACCACCCCATTTTATTGCTTACAAAAATTATTTTTCCAAGGCAAAATGTATTTCAACATGTCTCAAAAGTTAATAAATTACCACATCTCAATATTCCAAAGCCTGTATGATAAAATAAACCTTCACTTTATATACATTAAAACTTGGCCTCATATGTGTATGTGTGTGTGTGTGTGTGTGTGTGTGTGTGTGTATAACTGGACAAACTAAATAACTTAATTGGAGTCAGAATTGAGGACATGTATTTATCCACCCAAAGGGTGAAGAAAAGTTACAATGTTGCCTAAGAACACTTTACTAAGTAAGTGCCAGAAGGGCTGGAGTTAATACATTACTGGTATCTGCCTATTTTATGCTTTTTGACCAGCTGTATTAGTTATTTAAGGAGAAGTTTTTAAATAACTATTATAGGAGACAGGTAATTTTAAAGCAACTTGAGAGAATTTATCTTTCTGAAAGTTGGTATGTAATGTTTATACACATATCTACAATTATGTTAGGGGATTTCTGAAGTCCTTAGGGTAATTTTTCTTCTCAAATTTGCATAATCTTTCTAGTAAAGAGTACACATTGATTTAATATCTGTTATAACTGTACTTACTTTCAGAAAGCATACTTGTTCTGTAGATTATAAGGACACTGGTTTACAAATATAATCTGTATTTATATCTCATTTCTGTATATTCCATGCTATATAATAACTTTAACACAGCATTTTGTTTCATATTTTATCCTTTAAATAAAGCCTGCTATGGGGGGGTAAATGTATACTCTGATTGAAATGTTATGTTTAAGTGTATTAGATATATAGAGTATATAACAATTCAATTGCTACTGATCCACTGATACTTATTTTCTGTTTCATCTTTTTGGGCTCTTTGTTCTTCTCGGTGATTGGCAGCAGTCCAAAATGTGATTTTTTTGAGTACTTGTTGGAGAAGTTTAGGAGGTAATAGAGATATTTGGCTTTTTAAAATAATAGCATTTTTACCAATGCAGTCTAGGCATGACCTGTAAATAAAACATAACAGAATTATTAGTTGTTTTTTTATATCAGTTTTTTAGTTGTAGATGGACATAATACTTTTAATTAATTAATTAATTTTTTTAAGAGAGAGAGAGGAGAGAGACAGAGAGAGAGAATTTTTAAATATTTATTTATTTATTTATTTTTAGTTTTCGGCAGACACAACATCTTTGTTTTTGTATGTGGTGCTGAGGATCGGATCCAGGCTGCACGAATGCCAGGAGAGCGCTACCGCTTGAGCCACATCCCCAGCCTCTAATTTATTTATTTTTATGTGGTGCTGAGGATCGAACCCATGGTCTCACATGTGCCAGACAAGTGCTCTACCACTGAGCTATGACCCCAGCCCAAATTATTAGTTTTTTAACCTGAAGATATAATATAAAATATTTACAGTTTTTTTTKTGTGTGTGTGTTGGGGAGCAAGCAATCTATCATTGAACTAAACCCCTAATAAAAATCATTATAAAAATTTTACCTGACATTGTACTTCCTTTGTATTGTCTGGAACATAAGAGGATTTTTTTCCCCTAAACACTATAATAGTCATGTATTTTTATTGCAGAGAGATTGTATCTGACCCACATCCAATGGAAACCAAAAATATGTGTGTGTATACATAAATTTGATTCACACATACATATTGGGGATTAAACCCATGGGTGCTCTACCACTGAGCTACACTCCCAGCCCTGTTTTAAATATAAATATATATTTTATATATTTATATAAACATATAAATATAAACAATGGGATGATCCCACAGTCCGTTAGATCACGTGATGTGAGAAGAGTAATTGTGTCCTATTGTATCGCAATTACAGTAAGTATTAAATGTCTCCTGACTTAAAATAAAAAGAATATGTTGACTGCACTGTGGACAAGCAATTATGTCAAGATAACAGACTTCACATAATAAACACAACTAAATTTGTGCTATATTTGAGTTCTGATATATTAAACTATGCTTAGCAACAAAAAGGAATATACCCAAGCATAGAGAGGCACTGCACATGGATGACACGAAGAAGCCAAAAGACTGGTGGTCACCTTTTGTTTAGCCTGAAAGGCAAGCCCATCCAGTTGTCTGCTGTTTTACTTTATCTCATTTCTATATTGATTCATTTCTGTCGCACCACCCTGGCCAAATTCAAACTATGGATAAAATGAGTCAATCATCTCTCTGCACCTGTGATCTGGCTGCTGAAGAAAACTGTTTCTGCAGATGTGTTATCTCTACATATCAGTTATAGTCTATCTGAGCTGAGCATTACTCTGTTAAAAAATATCCTTGTTCAGCATCTTCTTGTAGTCACCTTTTCAAATCTCCACCATCTTTAAGTTCATATCTTCACCTCTCTTTTCTCTTACCAGATGACCTCACTTTCAACTAAAACTTTCTCAATACCCTCTCTCCAACCAATAAATATTTGTCTTTATACCCATACTTTCTTCCTTCTCCTCCATTTAAAAAAATATTTTGTTTTAGTTATAATTGGACACAATACCTTTATTTTATTTTTATGAGTTGCTGAGGATCAAACCCAGCACCCTGCATGTGCTAGGTGAGCGCTCTTCCCGTGAGCCACAACCCCAACCCCTTCCTTCTCCTCTATTTTTTTTTTTAAAGAGAGAGTGAGAGAGGAGAGAGAGAGAGAGAGAATTTTTTTTAATATTTATTTTATTTTTTTAGTTCTCGGCGGACACAACATCTTTGTTGGTATGTGGTGCTGAGGATGGAACCCAGGCCGCACGCATGCCAGGCGAGCACGCTACCGCTGAGCCACATCTCCAGCCCCCTTCTCCTCTATTTTAAAAGAAAAGTATCATTCCTCCAGTCAAGGCTAATTTGACTGTTTGCTAAAATTTACTTCCTTAAGACTATGCCAATTTTTCCTTCAATGTTTTGTGCTTCCAATAACTTAATCCCTAATGGCTTCTTCTCATCACTATATAAACAAATACTCCTCCTTTCTTATCCATGCCATTTCATTTCATTTCATGCCTTTCCATGTGGGCACTCAAATACTTCTTAATCCTTATATATGAAGAACTTGCAAACTAGTTAGGGAAAGTAATAGTCACAGTAAAAGTTGAGTATTAGTATAAACCATCATATTTATAGCAGTCATTTTCAAACTTGTCTGCATATCAGAATTACCTTGAGATCTTTAAAATTAATCTCCAAAGTACAGGCCACACCCTACACCAATTAAATCAAAATGACTGGGGGTAGAACACTGGTATCAATAGTTTTTGAAGCTCCCCATGAGATTCTAATATGCAGACAAGTTTCAGAACTATCACACTAAGCCAAGAGCAGTCAAGAAAGACCAAGAAATTTCAGTTTGAGCTAGTCTAATGTTTTTTCAGTGATTCAAGTTGAAGAACATTTGGAAGTTATAGTATACTCCTTGAAATACTGCATGTCATCTCTTTCTCTTTCTCAACCCCTCATATGCCTTCACCCATATTATTCTCACTGCATAAAATCCACATCTATTTGCTGGGCAACTTTGACTTCTTTTAAGTCCTTCTTCCCAACTGTCAATAGGCAGGAAAAAATAGGGGCTTTTCCTACAATCCTCCCAGAAAACTCTGTACATACATTTTGTGTGTGTGTGTGTGTGTGTGTGTGTGTGTGTGTTATTGAGGACTGAACTCAGGGCTTTGCACATGCTAGGCAAGTGCTTCACCACTGAGCTATATCCCCATCCCTGTTTTGAAACTTGATTTTGAGACAGAGTTTCACTAAATTGTCCAGGTTGACCTTGAATTTGCAGTCCTCCTGCTTCAGTATTCCAGGTAGTTGGGATTATAGTCTACTGCATCAGCCTTGTATATTGTTATGGTTTAGATATTAGGTGTCTCCCAAAAGCTCATGTGTGAGAAAGTTTAGAGGTGAAATGACTGGGATATGAAAACCTTAACTTTTTCAGTGCATTAACCCCCTAATAGGAATTAACTGGGTAGTAACTGTAGGCAGGTAGGGTATGGCTGGAGGTGATGGGTCATTGGGGGACATGCCTTCCGGTACACATTTTGTCCCTGGAAAGCAGAGCTGTCTGTCTCTGCTTCCTGGTGGCCATGTCCTGAGCTGCTTTCCTCTACCACATTTTTCTGCCATGATGTTCTGCCTCTTGTTGGGCCCAGAGCAGTGGAGCAAGCCATCTGTGGACTGAGACCTCTGAAACTGTGAGCCCCAAATAAAGTATTCCTCCTCTAAAATTATTCTTGTCAGGTTTTTTTTGGTCACAGCAGCAAAAAAGCTGACCAAAACATACATTATCTATTTATATTTTTCTTTTTGTGCTATTAGTGCTCTACCCCTGAGCTATATCCCCAGACCTATTAACTAATTGATTAATTTTGATACAAGGTTTCAAGCTGTCTAGGCTGGCTTTAAACTTGTGATGCTCCTGCCTCAGCCTCCCAAGCAGCTGGAATTATAGGCATGTGTTACCTTGACCAGCTACATACTTCTTTTTAGATCAAGAACATATGAGACAAGAAAGTATAAGTCATACCACCAATTTAATAATGGCTTTGAGGTTTAAAAAAATTCTGCTATATTAAATGTGTGAATGTATGTATGTGTGTGTAGTATATGGAGATAGATCAATATGACATATTCTGATTTTCAGAAGTTAAAAATTTTAAGAAGGATTAGAATTAAGGAACTACAGTATGCTTAATATTACCAAATGAACTAAGAGCAATTTTATAAACAAAATAAAAAATGTGATTATACTATATATTTTAATTTCTCCTTCCTTCCTTCCTTCCTCCCTCCCTCCCCTTCCCCCTCCCCCTCCCCCTCTTTCTTTCTTTTCTTTCTTTCTTCTCTCTCTCTCTCTCTCTTTTTCTTTCTTTCTCTCTTCTAGAGATTTAATCCCAGATGCTTTACTACTGAGCTATATCCCTAAGTCCTTTTTGTTTTTTATTTTGAGACAGGGACTCACTAAGTTGTTAGAGCCTTGCTAAATTGCTAAGGCTGTCCTTGAACTTATGATTCTTGTGACTCAAGCTCTTGAGCTTCTGGGATTATAGGTATGAACCACGATGCCTGGCTGTTTATTATAATTAAAAATAATAACACTGGTATATGATTTACCAACATAAATTTGATTTTACTATTAAAAAGACAAATATTTTCTTAGGTTCAAGTCATACAAACTACCTGAAAAATATATCTCTTCCAAAAAAGGAGGAAAAAGGAAATGATACATTCCTAGCATGTATATATAAAAATACTGGATTTGCTTACCTGAGTAGTGAATAAGGCTGTGTTTGAAAGATCAATAAATCATTACAGTGACCCTAAAACATAAGAAAGGTCTTATCAGGGATTTTTATAAAAATAACATTGAGTTAATAATATAATGCTTTATTGTATTTTACACATGTAAAAACATAGCATAACGCAGCAAATAAATCTCCGACTGAATAACACATATACATATGCATGCACCCAAACAAGGATACCCACAAATATACACATATATATGTACACATACACCTGCTATGCACAAACTTTGGGTATGTGGTTACCAAACTTCAGTGGAAAAAATTCTACATAATCAATAGCTTATAATTGCAAACTTAAAAATCAGAAATATGTTCTTTTCTGAGAATAGTGAGTTAAAAAGTGACACAAATAGTGGTTTATAAACACTTTTTTTTTAACAAAAGCATTTTCTTCAAATTTCTCTTATTTTAAAAATCTCTGCTTTAGGGTTGGGGATGTGGCTCAGGGTAGAGTGTTTGCCTGGCATGCCCAAGGGCCTAGGTTCAATTCCCAGACTACACACACATAAAAAAACAAACAAACAAAAAAGCGAAACTCTTCTTTATTCTATCTCCCTTTTCAAGATAGTTACTTTGTGGTGCTAGGGATCAAACCCAGGGCCCTTGCATATGCTAGATAAGTGCTGTACCACTGAACTAAACCCTTTAGCTCCCTTCCTGAGAATTATTAATTTAAAAATTAAGCAGCTGGGGTTGTAGCTCAGAGCTTGCCTAGTGCTTGCCTAGCATGTGTGAGGCACTGGGTTCAATTCTCAGCACCACATATAAAAAAAAAATAATAAAGATCCATTGACAACTAAAAAAAAAAAATTAAAAAAATTAAGATCCTGAAGATTTTTTGAATAATGAGTCTTTCATCTAAAAGTTAATATGGTAGAAGGGTCAACAGAAAATTTCTCTAAATCCTTTCAAATAGATCTTTAGAATTTCATAATTTGTGATCCAGATTTTAGTTATAATTTAAACTTTGTCATCTAAAAGAAGATTTCTAGTGACAAAAAAGAGAAGACAAAATATAAATTTGCCCCTCCCCCTTTCTTTTGTGGTCTTGAATATCGAACCCAAGGCTTTGTACAAGCTAGGCAAAAATTTTGCTATATAAGTACAAAATTGTGGTTTTAATATTTTAAGTAATTAATTTCATTTCTGGTGGTAAAATCTAAGGGTGTCCTACTACTGATCTACATCCCCAGCAGTCCTTTCGTTAGTTTTCATTTTGAGACAGGGTCTTGCTCAAAGAAAAAAAGAAAAGACTCAAAGAAAAAAGCTCTTTGTAATAACTAATGAAATTAATAGACCTATTTGGATTTCTTTTTTTAAATATTTTATTTTTTAGTTGCAGTTGGACACAATACCTTTATTTTATTTATTTATTTTTTTATGTGGTACTGAGGATTGAACCAGGGCCTCGCACGTGCTAGGTGAGCACTCTACCACTGAGCTACAACCCCATAACACAGACCCCCTATTTGGATTTCTAAATCCAAAAACTCCTGAAATGTTTTACAAAAGCCACTCATTCTTAGGATTAGTAACCCCACAGAGTAACATTTTATATTTTGCAGTATTAGAATAACAATATTCTTGTTGGGTAGTTATTTATTTTGAATAACATAATTCCAGAGGAAATATTTAGATATAAGATTTCTTACTGTATCCAAGGAAAGTAAATCATCTTTGCTCCCACCAAACACCATTATTTCATTTTCTTTTCCCAAACAGGCTGTGTGCCATAACCTAAAATTGAAAATTATAAACAGGGTGAAATACTGTCAAGGAAGAAACTGTACGTTACATAAAGTCAATTATAAACTGTATACTCTAAAATTAATCCATTTTAAAACAGGCATGACTGAACTTGAACCTTTGGCAGATCTTCAGAAGGGTTAGATTTTAAAGATTTTTCTAGAGTTCTTTAAATTGCATCATTTTGATTAAGGAGGTGATTCCCAATAACTCTTTCTATTCTATCCCCCAACCTTTTTTTAAACCCTTTTCTCTCATACATATTATCCTTAAAATATTACAATAAATTAAGAAGGAACTGACCCCCTTATTGCTGACAGAGGCACCTTTCCCAATTCTCTTATTAACATCTGCCATGTTACTGTTCTCATTACTTTTGCCTCTTTCTTTTCTGCTTATTCACATCACCTGACAAATCCAATGTGCTACTCTCTTCACATTTCTATTGTCAAAATCATTCATCACTCTGGGTACAGAATACCATGTGTTCCTTATTTTTTTTATCTCTAATCTCCCTAGCTACATATATCTAATAAATAATACTTTTCAAATACTTTTTTACTATCTGACCATTAAGAATTTTATTGACTCATATTTGTACATATTTATGAGGTATAGTACAATAATTCAATATATGTACACAATGTGTAGTGATCAAATAAGGATAATTAACATTTCTATCTCCTCAAACATTTATAATTTCTATGTGTTAGGAACCTTCAGACTCTTCTAGTTATTTTGAAATATCTTGTAAATTGTGTAAAATACAGTTAGCATGGGAATTTCCTGATTAGGAAGCATCTGTGCTGCCAACTCTTTTTTCTAGCCTAATATTTTATGATCAGTCATTATTTCTTTTTCCCCCAAATGTTAATTCTTGCCTCTCCCCAGTGAGTCCTCTATTTCAACCAACTCTGCTTCCTTGCTTACCCTAAGGAAAAAACTTATATTCACTTCCAGGCTTTTGTTTGCCGCCATCCCCCCCCTTTTTTTTTTTCTTTTGTGGTGCTGGGGATTGAACCCAGGGACTTTGTACACAAGCCCTCTACCGACTGAGCTATATCCCCAGCTGTTGTTTGCCCTTTTTCTTAGGCCTAGAATAAGTCATTTTCTCTGGGCCTTAAAAAAAACAGGCTCAACATGAAGAAAGTGTTTTAAATAATCCATCTAACTGGTTTTGCTGCCATTTCTGATCAGCATCTTTCAACATTTACATGTTTATTTTGTGCTCTACTAACTCACACTTGAAGATTAATTGCTCTATATACTACTTTAATTGTCTTCCAGCTCCCTAAAAAGACCATGAGGTCTGTGAGGTCAGAAATTGCCACAATGGTATGTTGAAACAGGCTCACTGGCTAAGTGAACCAATTGTGCATATCTTCATCCAGCTTAGAATCATTTTAATATATTGAAATCAGCTATAAAGGGAGTATTTACACCTGTAGTAATCAGCAAAGGCTATACATTAGGTGCCTCAACTTTGAGAGTAGTTGTAACTGTATGCCAGCAAACCACTGAAACTTGGGTATGCTAATTTTATGCTTCTTTAAAAAAATATCCAATATGGTATTCTGTACCCAGCTGGTGCTAAAAAAAATCGTAATTAGCAAAAGCAAACACAAAATACTGATATAATTTATTCAGTGATTAAATATGCAAATTATTTCATAAAGGAGTAGAGCAATTAATGTTCTTTTGTAAATGTTCTGATAGCTCATGTCCATCTCCAATTTTACATTATTTACCAAGAAAAATTTTATAGTTTATTTATAAAGTTCATAATTTCCAAAAGCTCTACCTCTCAAAAATCTCAAAGTACATGCAGATTCTCAATTTCATATGAGAAACTAAGGATTTTACAAAATCATTACTTTGACTCATTACTTTTTTTTTTTTTTGGTGGTTGTGCTGGGGATTGAACATGCAAGGCAAGTACTCTACTAACTGAGCTATATCCCCAGTCCTTATTACTTTTCTTAATAGACCAAATTGCTAGAGTAATAGATACCCAAAACAATTATATATTGTCATTTCTTTTATTACCACATCACTTATTTTTTAGCACATTAGTCCCTTTTACTTAAATTCTGCAAGTGCAAACAGTAGGAGTATGTACAATTTGTTAAGCCACATATTTTCCTCAATCATGCCACAGCCAATGACAAATGCACTTGGGACCCAGGACAAATCAAGTTATTAGATATGTTCTTTTGGAAATACTTGCTCAATTCTCCAAATTATACGTTAGAATGCAAATTGGCATAAATTCTCAACAAGAACCCAAATTATGTTGTGGGTTTGGGGAGGATTAGAAGAGGGATTAGGTAAAAGAAATGGAATATAATGAATGCCCCGTATAAGGAAAGGAATAGATTAATTTCCTAGAGAGACAGCTATGTATATAATGGCCTTGGCAATACTCATGGGATCCAGYGGAGCTTTTGGCTCTCTACATCAACACTTTATCTCGTATCTTTTACAGACACATAAAAAAGGTTCCTTGCTGACAACCACTTATATGGGTTATTAGGTATGGATTTACAGATGGTCTTTGAACCAGGCATAGTTTTATCTAAGGTAAGGCCTGAAGATAGTGTTATGCTGTAGAACAGTGGTTCTCAACCAGGGGTAATCTGTCCCCCAAGGAGACTTTTGACAACACCTGTAGATATTTTTGGTTGTCACCACTTGGGGAGAGAGAAGGCAGTGCTACTCAAATCTAGTGGGTAAAAGCTAAGGATGCTGTTAATCATCTTGCAATGTATAGGACACCCCTAACAACAATTACTGAACCAATTATTTGGTTCAAAATGTCAATAATGCTAAGATGAAGAAGCCCTGTCTCAGAGTTCTAAGAGGATAATTGGGCAGCTTACATTTCAAATTATATCTTGGAAAAGTTTGCACAAAATGCATTTAGATGTTAATTGTCACTTTCATAAAAATTAGTAAACACTTACACACACACACAAATATATTTATATATATGTTCTCCTTACACTCAACTGTATCCCACCTGTTCTCCTCCTCACCTCATACCTGAAGATAGATCTGCCTCTGTCTTATCTGCCTTATGGAAACTCTGGCCTGGATTTCATCATCGAAGAACACTGGAAAGCCTTTCCTGCCTTGATTTTGGTGACATCTAGCTTGGAACCTGATGTTTTTTCTATAGACTGATAGTTTATGTCCTCTCACAGCTGCTCTAAACTTATCACCTAAACATTCTAATAAAGCATATTATTTACATGACACATCAACTGAATCAAAAGAAATCTCTTTACATAGCTCTAGTTCTAACTAGTATATTATTAATAATAGTTGTGTTGCTCTAATTATTAAAAATTGAAATATAAAATAGGAGCAATTTAAAAATTAAACATTTTTACTACCACTTTGGTCTATAATTAACATATTTATAAAATCAAAAATTAGGAGAAACTTAGAGATTATCTAGTCCAACTCCTTTATTTCACAGATGAAGAAATTGATGCTCAGCTTCTTTTTTTTTTTTTTTAGAGAGAATTTTTAATATTTATTTATTTATTTATTTTTTAGTTCTCGGTGGACACAACATCTCTGTTGGTATGTGGTGCTGAGGATCGAACAGGGGCCGGCGCGCATACCAGGCGAGCGCGYTACCGCTTGAGCCACATCCCCAGCCCGATGCTCAGCTTCTTTAAGTGACTTTTTAAAGCCAAAAAACTAAGCAGTAACTGAGCAAGGACTAGAAATCTGGGTCCCCATATCTTAATATAAAACTCTTTAAATTAAACAAATATATTTTTAAAAAGCCACAATTGTTAAAATAATAAATTCCAATGAATTTTATACATGAAAATAAAATAATCAAATATGTAAATATAAGTTATAGATTATAAGTATATTAATAGATTATAAATATATAGTAAATATTAACATAGATATACACACCAAAATATATATAAATATTTTAAGTCTTTATCTCAAAAAAGTTACTTAAAATTATCATTTATTAAATAACAAAAATACATATCATTAATTTGACTGCACACTAATATAAATCATCTATAGTTAAAAAATCTGAAATACATGGCATGGAAAGGCATAAAATTTGTTACTGACTACAGTGATGATTATGTGCTGAATCTGAATTTCCTATGAAGATATTTTTTATTATACTATTCAACCAAATTTGAAAAACTAAGAAATACAATACTATTGTGATTTCTTTAATATAATAATAGTATACTGTTCCTATAATTTTTATTATAATATACTACAAATATCTAACATTTTCTTTTTCAAAAAAATTCACATTAATGAATACATTAGACCAGTAATCAAAATAATAATTTGCCATCTACTAGATCAATATGAAATCAAATTTCCTCATTAAATTTCTTTAAACTTTTAAAAACAAATTACTACTATTAAAGCCAACCCTATTCCTATCTACTGATTAAAAATATTAACATTAAAATATTAAAATTATGAGATATTTTAAATTATCTTTTTCATATTTATCAGGCAAGATTACACATTTACCTAAAAGAATAACATTTTAAAATATGCAAATATGGATAAAAACTAGACAGATTATTTCTAACAGTCAGATATAATTAAAATGATATTTGAATTATATAACATAAAGCTCATGTGAAAGATATCATTCCTAATGTTTTATGATTTCAGTGGCAAACAGTATAAATTCAGTGCTTTATCTTAATACTTTAAAAATTCTTAATTATTTTACTACTTGTCAACTACTAGACTTACCTGGGTCTTGTGTTAGGTAAATGTATAAGTTGTTTCCAACAATTTGTTATTGTATTATGAATCCAACCATCACCTGAAATATTATGACAGTTTAATTAGTCCTTTGGATACAATTTTAATTTTTTCCATATTTATCATGTTACATTTATATGATTATCTTTCCTGTGTGTGCATATCTTTTTCATAAATATTTCAAACATACACAAAAGTAGAGTGATGTACCTCCTAGATGCAACAACTATCAAGGTTCTGAGCTAGTGGTGTATCTCAGAAGTAGTGTTTGCACCTATTATCACCTGCAAAACCCTGGGTTCAATCCCCAGCATTAATCCATCAAAAAAACTGTTTTGCCAAATGGGTTCCATTTATCTCTGTTATTCTTATTGTTGAATTCATAATAAATCAAATCCCATATCTCCTATCATTTTCCCCAAACACACTTCAGTATGATTGCTTAAAAAATGAACACTCTACATAAGCACAATGCCATTATCAGTCAATAGAAGATAATTCTTCGGTATCCATATGATCAGATCTTAAACTTAATTGATGAGAGAGGAAACTGACTAGACTAAAAGTTAAGATATTTAATTTCCCATAGTCAATGACCAAAAATAGCAAATAGGAATTAAAAACTTTAGATCTCGTGAAGTTAACGATGTTAAACAACCTCTAGCAAAATGTACATCTTAATTTTTATTATATTCCAAATTTCTTTTAATTAAAAAGCTCATAAATTGGAGAAAAAATAAACTGCAAGAATATTACCATCTCCTATCAGGAACTGTTATTTCTCCAACCAGCTCTAAAATTAGGTGGCCCACACTCCTYGATAAATGCATCACTGATATGAAAAACTCCTGTTGAAAAATAGTTGTTTCCAGATTCCATATAAAATTATACAAATTATTTTAGTGTTACATAGGTTTCTTTTTTTAGTATTTTTGTAGTTGTAGATGGACAAAATGCCTTTATTTTATTTATTTTTATGTAGTGGTAAGGATTGAATCCAATACTTACACGTGCTAGGCAAGTGCTGTCACTGAGCCCCAGCCCCAGCCTATATAGGTTTCTTGATAAAAACATTTTTAGCCATAGAAAACTTCTGAGTTAAGAAAATACAATACATCCAACACGTCAAACCAAGAGGTGAATATTCTTGGTCACTCATCTACCCTGATGCCACAATTTTACTGCTTAAAGAAAAACACAATTACAAAACCCATAGCTATTAGGATCAGCAGTGAAAGGAGTTAACAAAATTCTGTTAATACTTTCCTTTATAAGAGAAAAAACTGGCTTTCCACTTTGTATTCCCAGAGCCTTCTAGGAAGGCTGGTCTTCTAATCTCCATTCCAGCCAACAGTATAAGCATCTGGATCAAAACCCAGAAGGACACAGAATCACAGAATATTACAGTGGTAAGGGGCTTTAATTCAGCTAGATTCACCCTTTTCTTCTTTTCTTAAGAAAGAAAGAAGTACATGAAGATCCAAGGATATTGAAGCAGAGAGCTTCTCTTTCCAATTAAAAAAAWTTTTTTTTTCAGCTGTAGATGGACAGCATGACTTTATTTTATTTGTGTTAAAGATTGAACCCAGGGCTGCGGATATAGCTCAGTTGGTAGAGTGCTTGCTTCACAGGCACAGGGCCTGGAGTTCAATCCCCAGCAAAAAAAAAAAAAAAAAAAAAAAAAAAAAAAAGATTGAACCCAGTGCCTCACACATACTAGGCAAATGCTCCACCACTGAGCTATCTCACCTGGCCTCTTTTTTTTCAATTCTTAATGCAATGCAAGCATGAAGTTAGGGATAAAGAAAAAAAGGAAGACTTACTTCACTTTAAGCATGAAATAAAATTAAGAAAAAGGAATGAGAGGATATTTTATATGCTTAACTTTAACTGACTTACTTAATGGAATATTATCTGCACTTAGTCCTCCAAATAGGAAAAGTTTGTCATCAGCTATTGGTGTTAAAGTATGCCAGGACCGATGTTTTGGACTTTCTCCATTAATAGAAATCCTATGGCAAGAGAAAATAATTACAATTTAATTATTTTAATTAAATTTATTTTATTTCAACTGCATTAGTCAAAATAAAATTTTATTTATTTGTTTGTTTATTATTATTTTGGGGGTAACTGGGATTGAACTCAAGGACACTCAACCACTGAGCCACATCCTATTTTGTATTTAATTTAGAGACAGGGTCTTACGGAGTTGTTTAGTGCCTTGCTGTTGCTGAGGCTGGTTTTGAATTCTCAATCCTCCTGTCTCAGCCTCCTGAGCTGCTGGGACTGCAAGCATGTGCCACAGCACCCGGCAAAATAAAAGGCTTTTAATCATCTCAGAGTGTTTATAAAACATTCTTAAATTCTTAGATAAACTTGAACAATTTATTTCCACTTAATGTCCATTTCACTTGTTCATAGAACACAGAGTGAAATTAAATTTCAATTTCCATTTAATTCACAATGCATATTTAACATCACTTTTGTTGATTAATAAACACCCTTTCCCATTTTTTGACACAATTATTTTCACGTCTCTTATTTATTTTTACTGTTGTTTCATGTTTAATTTTGTGTTTTTAGCTGGTTTCCACATGCTATTGTTTTTACTCTGGTCTACTTGTTGTATAAGTTCCGAAAGCATTATCTTCCCCTGAAAATGCTAGCTACTTTACCTTCAAAATAAAAGTATGCATGCCATTGCAGATGCAGGATAAACCTCTAGAGTTTTCAAACCAATAAACTCTTCTTTAAAAAAACAGAAACATAAATAAAAAACATAAACAAAAGCTGGAAGCAAAAAGTTTTAAAACCAGGAGAAAAGAAAACACTATTCTTCAGCATTCTGGAATGCCCCATAGCAACAGGGGCCAGTTTTAGAGAATGTAATTTATTTTTTCCAAAAAGAAATATTTTTATTGTTTTTAAAAATTATTATTAGAAACACTTTGGTTATAAAGCATTTAACAACCACTAAAATATTTTTTAAAAAGGAGAATTCTCTTATAATCTTGTATCCCACCAATAAGAAATAATATTAATTTGGTATATCTCTTTAAGACTTTAATGCATATATTTATTAAAAGTACACACATGGGAGCATATAATCTGTTCTGTAACTTTTTTATCTCAAATAATATGCTGTACAACATTTCTGTAAAACATGGTTTCCTTTGGTATTGGAAGCAAAACAGCCCACTGGGCAAAGGTATCATGATTTAAACAATCTCTACTTGCAGACACGAAAATTAATTTCAATTTTGGCTTTTATTAATAATGTTGAAACATCTTTTAGCTATGTACACATGTTCACACACATACACATACCCTTGTCATTGTTTTTGGAAAAATCTGAATCAAAGAAATTATACACACACACATACACACACACACACACACACACGCACGTACACACATATGTCTTTATATATGTGCAATTATATGTGTATGTGTATTTTTTTTCTGGTAGTGGAGATTGAACCTAGCACCTTGTACATGCTATGGAAGCAATCTCTGAGATATATCCCCAGTTCTTTTCATTTTGAGACAGTTTCACTAAATTGTCCTGGTAGCCTCAAACTTGTGATCCTCCTGCCTTAGCCTCCCAAGCAGTTGAGATTTCCATTTTATATTTTAAACATATTTTCAGACTACCTTCCAAAAAAAAGTGCCCCAATTTGTACTACTAACTATGTTGTTACATTCTACCACACACTGTCATTATAATTATTTTTATCTGATAAATGAAAACTTACTTTTATTCCCTTTTCTTTGATAATCTATGTAAAACCAGTACTTTTACATAATCTATTTTCTTTTTTAAATATTTTTATTTCATTTATTTATTTTTATGTGGTGCTGAGGATCAAACCCAGAGTCCCGCACTTGCGAGGCAAGTGCTCTACTGCTGAGCCATAACACCAGCCCACATAATTTATTTTCAACTGTTATTTTTTTCTTTCTTTTTATGGTACCAGAGATTAAACCCAGAGACACTTAACCAATGAGCCACATCTCTAGGCCTTTTAATTTTTTCCTTTGAGCCAGGGTCCTTGTTATGTTGCTTAGGGCCTGATTAAGTTTCTGAGGCTGTCTTTGAACTTGTGATCCTCCTGCCTCTTGAGCCGCTGGGATTATAGGCATGTGCTACTGTGCCTGGCTCAACTGTTAGTATTTTCATGTTTTATATAGTTCAGTTAAAGAACAAGTTCTGTTTACATCTGTATATTCCTTGCTTAGACATATAACCTGAAAAAAAAATACCAGTTCAATTTTAGGAACACAAATTTGGATTATGGCTGGACACACACACACACACACACACACACACACACACACATACAGATTAAAACATACTAAAATTTCAAACTTACCTTCCAGACCAAGTCCAGGTGTCTAAGTTTAGATAGTGCAAGTCATTCATCCTAGTTTGCTAAAATAAAAGTGTTAAATTGGACAGTGTTTTATATCTTTTATGGTCTAAAATATTAATTGTTGCTTTCTGTATGAGGGATAGAACTCAGGGGTGCTTAACCACTGAGACACAGCCCCATCCCTTTTTTATTTGTTCCTTTGAGACAGGGTCTTGATAAGTTGCTGAGGATGACTTTGAACTTGTGATCCCTCCTGCCTCAGCCTCCCGAGCCACTGGGATTACAGGCGTGCACCACCACGACCGGCTTAAAATGTTAGTTTTAGATTAAAAATAGACTATATCTGTCCTACTCAACATCAGAAATTTAAATATTGGGAAATAATGCAAAGCATTAATAAAATTAATATCGAGCTCCCAAATTAATGTGTCAAAGGGCAAAGGAAGAAATGGGTTTAAACTAACAGGGTTTTAATTATAAAAAATTAAACTTTTCTAAAACTGGACTGAAGTGAAGGATTTTCCTCATTAAAATATGATTTATAATCATCTGTGATTGCTTGTATATGGCCTGTTTTGAAAATAAAAGATAAATAAAAGTTATTAAATGTTATTTTAGTCTCTAGATTATCTGAATATTCCATTGTTCCACAAAATCAGTGGCTAATTTTTATAACAAGCACCACACATAAAAATACCATTTCCATTAAAAACACTAACCAAAACACGTCCGCCAAAGATATAACCCTTATTTCCAAGAACTGCACACGTATGCGCGGCTCGTGGCTGTGGTGGAACTCCACCCTGCAAGCAGAGATTAGAAGAGTACAAAGACTTAAATCATCTGTAATATAGTCACATTCCAATGCTTAGTATGAGACACACCTGATCAGTAAGCTATCCATACCTATGTAATTCAATTAAAAACCCTACACAGAAGTTCATTCTAAACAATAATATAGGCAAATACAATTCTTTAAGAATAAAATTTACTCTTCCTGATTTTAATGTGCTCTTCTAAAATGTCAGATATTATTAAACAAAATAAAATTCACATAAATTTTGGATCGAAACATAAGACCATAAAAAAATCAAATTAAAAATTCTGTCACATATTCTTCTCTCTCTCTCTCTCTCTCTCTCTCTCTCTCTCTCTCTCTCTCTCTCTTTCTCTCATACACACACACACACACACACACACACACACACAGAGTTAAAATTTGAAGTGAGCACTGTTTAGTGGGTGATCTCAGAGCCTAAAAAATTAAATATGATCTCCAAACTCCTCAAATTCACAAGAATTTCACTATTGCCTTGTCAAACAGTACTTTATTGCTTCCTAAAACTCTTAACACTAAATAACTCTTCTCTACATTTTACTTTGAAAAAATAATAGATCTTTTCTTTAGAAAAGTTCTTAATTGATGGTAAAGGAGAGAATGAGTAGATAAATGAGTAAGATTTTAAGGAAAAGGAGCTGGGGACGTAGTTCGGGGTAGAGCCCGTTCTTAGCATGTGTAAGGCTTTGGGCTCAATTTTCAGTATGAAAGACAGAAAGGCAGGGCTCAGGTGTGGCTCAGTGGCAGAGCGCTTGCCTAGCCTGTGTGAGGYACTGGATTTGAACCTCAGCACCACATATAAATAAATAAAAAATAAAGGTACATCAACAACTAAAAAATGTATATTTTTTAAAAAGTAAGAAAGGTAGACATACAGAAGGAAGAAAGGGAGGAAGAGAAATTTGAAGGAAGAATCATTTGAATAATTCTATGTGTTTATGAACTTCCCCAAGTTGTGCTAAAGCTTCTACTTATTTAAAATAATCAGGTATCAGTTATTAATGATGTAAGAAAAGAAATTATCCTGCAACTCATGAAAGCAATTACCACTAGATGAGAGACCCTCCTCCATCTGAATCCAAATCTATTGAGTGAAAATACATTTTTTTCATAGTGTCAGTTTTGGCAAATTGGTAGGTCCTAAAATGAGAAAGATTAGGTTCATTATTTCTAAGCCTTACAGGCTATACTAAACTAAAGGCAAATGTAAGGAGTGATTATATTTTTACCCAAGATGCATTATGAACATTTTCAGCTYACTGGCTACTAAATGCGGACATGGAAAATTTAAGCTCTACATCCAACATCATAACTTATTATTCATTTTAAGATTACCTGAATACCTGTTTCAACTTGATAAGAAATAATYCAGATTTCACTTATATAACACTTAAGTAAATGAAAGAGAACCATTTGAGAGTTTTGGTTTCTAGCCCTTCTAGCAAAACAAAGCTTTTATTATTATCCCATCACAGAAGCTCCAGGTTCTGACTTATTCTCTAAGGCAATAGAGGGTTAAGAGGCCTCAAAGAGATCTAGGTTTAGTTTCAGTAAACTTAGACCCACTAATATTTGTCTCCACCCACCTGCTGACAGGAAATCTTAACAGAGGTAAAACTCTCTTACTCCATTAATAAAAAACCCAAATCTTAAAATTCAAATGCTGATTGAAGCAAAATTCAATCTTCAACTATAAATAACTGACAGCTGATTAGTTCTACAATTAGAAATGTAATGAAGAGAACAGAAAAGCACTGGAAACCGGAAATTTACTGCCTGGAAAGAGATTGCAGAGAAGGTCAAATTCTATAACACTTAATATTTTACATAGCACTTTCCATGATTTTCACCAACAGAAGTTGGACTGTAAAAACTTTTAGTCACTTGTGCATACTAATAGACAATGTTAGTTTTGCCTGCTTAGCATTCCTTTCTGTTCACCCTAGGATGTGTAAAGCCTTGGGCTCAATTACACCTTAGTATGTGTAAGGCTWTGGATATTGAGCTTATCAATCATAATACCCTGCTCTCCCTGGGGTGGACACAGCAAGTTATCTCCTTGGTAACAGGGGTCCTATAAAGAGTAGGGACAATACCAGGTAGAACCAGAGTCCTCTTCTATGACTAATATACAAGCAATGAGAGAGCATTATACCAAGAACTACTGGCATAGCCAACGCCCAGTTCTCTCCTAAATGGCCCCAGCTGGTCTGCAGTAGCTGTAGTGAAACAAGTACACAAAAAGGGAAMAGCAGACAAAGAGACATGAAAAGTATCATGATGGTGTTGAGAAATGTGCTCCACTTCCTGGTGTGCTGGTCTGTGTAGGATGTGTGAGACACTTCAAATTGCTTAAACTAATTTAAATTTGTGCTTGGTTACTAGCAAATGAAAAAACAAGGATAATGTATTTTTGTCATGCTGTAATTGTATGTTGCTCTGATTTTAAGGGTTTATAAAAATGGTGTTTAAAATCATGGGCTTTGTAATACAATGACTTTTTAAAAGAATTTTTATCAAATTAGGGCATGTTACCTGTGGGTAAAGAATGATGACAGAAACAAAAAGAATCACAATGGCATCTCTTTAAAATTTTTTTTTTTCTAGAAAATCTTATCTGATCTGGAGAAAATTTTTTTTCTCTTTCTTTTTGGTGACACTAGGGATTGAACATATGATCCTTCAGCCTCTGAGTTACATCCTCAGTTCCACTTTTTTTTTTTTAATTGTAAATTTTCAGACAAGGCCTCACTGAGTTGCCCAAGCTGACCTGGAACTTGAGATCCTCCTGCCTCAGCCTCTTGAGTTCCCAGGATTACAGATGTATGCCAACACACCTGGCTATATATGATTTTCTTTTAAATGGTGTTGGTGACAGATTCAAGATAACTACTTTGTATGTGATTATAAACCCAATTGATAAATCCAAATGACTGAGTTTTTAAAAGATTTAAAATGTATCAATGAATATWTGGAATATGAAGGATACTTTTTGCAACACTTACTTTAATTTCTGGTTGAAACCAAGTCTGTGTTTTTGTATCAAATACATGGACATCATTATGCCATCCCCAGAATATTTGTTCTTCCTAAAACAGAAATTTTAAAAATATCTGAAAGCTTTTATAATTTTTACATTATTGTTACAGCTTGGCACATATGTACTAGTAAAATAAAAATAAAAAACATTTACAACAATAGAGTTAAGTGATATCAGAGTCATCAAGTTAATGCACACACCAGTGTCCCAAAAAGTATGGTGTTCAGACAAGTAGTAGTATCACTGGACAACTTTTCTTCTCATATAATTGCTTGCTTGCAGTGAATCATAATTTTATTTGTGGACAATTTTTACATTTTCTCAAAGAACTGTCTTTTTTAAAATTTTGAGGACAAGCTGGCAGTAGCACATATTTGTGATCTCAACCTTTGGGAGGTTGAGGCAGGAGGATTACTTCAGTTCATGGGTTCAAAACCAGCCTGGGTAACATTGTAAGATCCCACCTCAAAAAAACAACAACAACAAAAGCCAACCAAAAAATAATTGGACAGAATGGATTTATACAGGACAGAATGATTTTATACATCTTGGAACCTTTTTTCCTTAAAACACATACTCAAAGCCTAATTAATCCTTGCCATAATAAATTGTATAGATTATACAGGTTATACAGGGCTATACTTTTTCCAAAAAGTTCCAATCACTTCTAATCCACCAAGCAATTTATTCTTGTGAGTCAAACTTATGCTTTTTGCTTATTGTCCTTGTTATCTTCTTCTTTTTCCTTCTTATTGATGGTCCTGGGGACTGAATCTAGGAGTACTTTACCACTGAGCTACATCCTCACCCCTTTTTATTGAAACAGGGTCTTTCTAAATGGACCAGGCTGGCCTTGAACTTGCAAGCCTCCTACCTGTCTCCCAAATAGCTGAGATTACAGGGGTAAGGTACTACACCTGTATTATTTATCTTTTTGTTGTTGTTGTTTTATTACCAGGGATTGAACCCAGTGGTGCTTAACTACTGAGCCACATCCACCAGCTCTTTTAAATTAATTTTTTTTTAGTTGTTGATGGACCTTTATTTATTAATTTATATGTGGTTTTGAGAATCGAACCTAGTGCCTCACCCATGCTAGGCAAGTGCTCTACCACTGAGCCACAACCTCAGCCCGTCTTTTAAATTTAATTTTTTTTTTWAATTTTGAGACAGTGTCTCGCTAAGTTGCTTAGGGCCTTGATAAATTGCTGAGGTTGGCTTTGAATTTTGCAATCCTCCTGTCCCAGTCTCCCAAATTGCTAGGATTACAGGTGGGCACCACCAAACCCAGCTTCATGTATCTTTGATAGGACTTATCAAGTAAGTCAAATAAACCAAACAATTTACTTAGATTAGAATCCAAATTTAAAGATCTAGTTGTTCTCCAGAAACTTCAGGACATGTTCATTAGGTTAACTGTACTAGGGGAGAAAAAACAACTGAGTTCACCAATGAGTAAAGATAACTAGGTGTAAAAAATAGTAAATTATATTCTTGAAAATTATTAATAATATTTTGAATAGCAAAGTTTTAAARATATTTCATTTTAAAAATTCAAATATGCAGAAACATGGAGAATTAAAGATACCTATATACATTTACATTGAAAATGTACAATGATAATAAAATTCAAAAGAAGGTAAACTGAAAAGAGTTATTGTGTATCTTTTGGTGGTGAGATCAATTTTTATTTCTTTTGCAATACTGGGGATTGAACCCAGGGGTACTTTATCATTGGGCCACATACTCAGCCCTCTTTATTTTTTCTTTTGAGACAGGATTTTGCTAAGTTGCTTAAGTCCCTGCTAAATTGATGAGGCTGGCTTTGAACTTGTGATATTCCTTCCTCATCCTCCCGAGGTGCTAGGATTACAGATGTACCTCCCCCAGTTCATTCTTATGCAGAAACCAGTCTGAGCTATGAAAAATTCTGGTATGTGTCCAATAGGAGGCTTGTCAATAATAGCCATTTTGGTTAAACATAAACAAAAAACAAAATTCCCCCAAGTTGGGTTAAAGCATCTATTTATTTAACAGAAACAGGTATAAGTGATTAATGATATTAGAAAAAAAATTATTCTGCTGTACATGGTGACACACATCTGATGTTCTCAGCAATTTGGGAAGCTGAGGCAGGAGTATAGCAAGTTTGAGGCCAGCTTGGGATACTTAGTGAAACTCTGTCTCAAAATAATAAATAAAAAGGGCTGGGGGTGTAGCTCAGTAGTAAAGCATCCCTAGGTTCAATCTCTAGTACTGAAAAAAAAAAAGAAGAAGAAGAAGAAGAAAGAAAAATTAGTGAGAGGAACAATGAAAGTTATTATCACTATATGAGAGATTCTTCCTTGACTGAATCCAAATCTATAAGAGTAAAAATACATTTTTTCACATAGTGTCAACTGGTAGCTCCTAAAATGAGAAAGATTAGGTTCATTATTTCTAAGACTTACAGGCTATGCTAAATTAAAAGCAAATGTAAGGAGTGATTACTTTCTTACCCAAGATGCATCATGAACATCAAAACAGTCTTGAAGTTCATTGTGTCTCCTGCACCCATAACCACCAAAATATATTAATCTGAAAAACAATACAGAGGGGCACACTTTTAGTTTGCTTCTCATTTGTTCATTGAAATATATCTTTTCTYTCACCCTAAGAACCTAAATAAGCCAAATAAATGACAAAATCATTGTATTAAAAATAAAAAACTAAATCAAAGAGCTGAGAGAACAGAGATCTAAATGAACCAATTTCAGAAAGTGATGAGCTCTCAAACAGCAGAGACCCACAGCTGCATCCATCCAATGTGTAACAGGAGGAAATAGAAACAAATACACACAGAGATTATAAAGAGAAACCACTCATTGTATTAACCGGTACATGTAGGCTGGCATGGCAAATTGGAATCTTAAAAAAATCCAGCTGCAGAAGGAGTTGGAATGCTTTTTTTTTTTTCTTTCTTTCTTTCTTTCTTTTTTTTTTTTTTTTAGTTTTTAATTTCCATAACTCTTTTGCAAACTTTTAAGGATGGCCCAGGATCAATTATCAAAAGCTGAAAGCAGGAGGTGGGGGTGTAGTTCAGTGGTACAATGCTTGCCTGGCATTCAAAATGCTCTGAGTTCAATCACCAGAGGTGGGGGTGTGTGGGGGAGCCAGAAGAAGAGGAGGACTGCTGAGCAAACCTGCTTGAGGCAATTTGAGCTTTCAACTATTAAAGTTTGGGATCTAGACAGGAGATCTGAAAGAAACACCTGAGAGGCATGCCAAGACTATACCACATAGGGTGGCTTCACTCCAAAGGTCAGGGGAGGAGATGTAAAGCTGATCTCTTTCAAATTGCAGAAAGCCTGAGTGGGATACCAGAGCAAAGAGAACCTCTTAGGGACCCAAGGATCTACCAACTGGTTTTAAAACATAGATCTCTCATAGTTCTGAGGGGTAGGGATGCAGCTGAATGCAGCATAGCTGAAATCTTCAGTTCTTAAATATGGGTCACTAATGAAAGACCTGCCCTGCCTCAAATCATTTGAAGCCACTGGTAAGAATGGATAAAACTAAGGCTACAACACAGCCCAAACACAGATCAACTACAGATTGGCCTGACTTATGTCCCATTCTAGCAGTCTTTAAAAAGAAGAACTGGCATATCCCTCTCTGGAGATAAAGAAAATATATTCCAATCTTTACTATTCTTTCATATAAAATGTCTGGTATATAATAAAAAATAACAAGATACATAAAAAGGAAAAAAAAGTGGTTCATGATCAAGAGAGAAAAGAGTCAACGTAAGTAGACACAGAGTAGTCAGACAACCTGAATTATCAGAAAGGGTCATTTAAAATAACTGTTAATTTTAAGAAAAGCTCATTCTCCAAGAAAGGTCCTAGGTAGCTAAATGTGTGCCTAAGTTGCAGAATCTGGTAGCCATTTGCTGACTGGAGATCATATTCAAACTTTGTGTTCCTGGAAGAACCACAAACTGAACTTTGGGCCTTTGTCCAGGCGTGTTCCTGTTCAGCTGCCAAGATAAACAGTCTGAAAAGTCCTGTTTCATCCCGGAGACCTGAACAATGAACTATTATTTGCAGTCAAAATTAAATATCAACCAATTAGGAATGAGCATGCTTGCATCCTTCATTTGCATAACAGTCTTTAGAGGGTACCTGGTCTGGAACTTTATCTATATTAGCCAGTCCYTCTCTTTGCTCCTTTGGAACAGTTTCCTTTTGTAAGGAAGGCTGTGTCTCCCTGGTGAGGAAACTGCTTATTGAAATAAAGCTTCCATTTTTGTCTGAAATTCTTTCCTACTGAATTTTTGTTGCAAAAACATGATTAAAATGCTAATAGACCTGAGATAGAAATTTGGGGATACAGAGAGAAGACTAAATCTCTAAAGGAAAAATATCCCTGTTAAACTGTAGAACAAATAATTTGTAATCAACTCTTGAGTCAGACAAAGGAGTCTAAGAGACAGAAAAAAAGAATATAATGATTCAGTGAACAGCCCATAAATTATTTTGTAACTTTCCAGTTTCCTTAAGTTTTCTGGAATTTGACAAAACAGAAAAAAGACCTCGATAGAAAGAAATCAGGAGCTAATATTTGATTGGACCATGACACTCTATCACAGTCACCTGACTACCTAACCTCCCAGAATCATTAATATAGGCTGAAACTTACCAGACCAGATCCCCTAAGTGGAAACATGATTTTCCTCAATTCCATCCATGAAAGAAGACCGGTCTTTCTGTTTTGTTTTGGTACTGGGGATTGAMCTCAGGGGTACTCGACCACTGGGTCCCATCCCCAGCCCTATTTTGAATTTTATTTAAGGACAGGGTCTCAATGAGTAACTTAGTGCATTGCTTTTGCTGAGGCTGGCTTTAAACTTGTGATCCTCCTGCCTCAGCTTCCTGACTGCTGGGATTACAGGTGTGTGCCACTATGCCTGGCAGACCAGTCCTTTCAAATAATATAGTCTATCTAATTATGTACCCTAATAAAAGCTTGACCTTAAGTCCTGGTTTCTTGTTTATGAGATTACTGACATTCTGCCCTGAAAATACAAACTTTGACTTTCTATAATAAACTTCCTTCTTTGCTATGAAGACCTGACTTGTCCTTAAATTCTTTTCTGTCAGGAGCTGCCACATAAGAGCAGGGCACCCTCAGGCTTGAGCAATGGGGATGTGGGACTGGCTTCTGTTGTGCACAAAAGCAGGTGGACTTCACCTATACCCGGCAGGGGAGTGAAGCTCTGGGAGTGGGCGTTACCCAATGGGAGTGGGCTGCCTTCTTGTTCTTTTTTATCTTTGTTGGATGGAATGCTCTATCCAATGGCTGTCTTCAATAAAAACCAGGATTCAGGACATGCTCCCTCTTTCTCGCCTACCTCCCATATTTTTATCTTGCCCCCCTTGTGAGAGCTTAAAGCTGAGGCGGAGGAGCTGTCCTGAAAACACCCCAAAAAAGGTATTTTCTGTGTCTGTGTGATTCCTTCATGCCACCCAATTCACCCGAATGACCCTGGATATGTAGCCCACATGGGATGTGGGCTACACTATTCTGTGATGGAGTCAAAACCTGAAAGTTTCCAATAGATGTCTCCTGGGCCTCTGGAGACTTCCCTGGATCCCTACATGGTGACAGACCTAATGGAAAAAGATGGACAATACACACACACACACACACACACACACACACACACAAAGGGTAATATCAGCAGAGATATGGCACCATAAAAAAGAACTAAATAGAAATGCCAAAAATGAAATATAAGATGTCAGAATTTAAAAATTCATTAGCTGGGTTTAATGGCAAACTGGACACAACAATGGAAAAGGTCAGTGAATGTGAAGACAAGTACATCAATAAAAAATATCCAAATTAAAACATAAAGAAGGGGTGGAGAAAGAAACTAGAAGTTCAAGCTCTGTGGGCCATTATCAAATGATTTAAAATGCATGTAAAAGGAGTTCCTGAAGACAAAGAAATGTGTAAAACAAATATTTGATAATTACTAGAAACTTCTTAAAACTCATATAAGATACCAATCTGTCAACCCATGTAGTTCAGCACATTCCAGGTAGGATAAATATAAAGGAAACTATACTTGAGCTTTTACTTTCTTCTTTTTGGGGTAGGTACCAGAGGTTGAACCCAGGTGCACTTAACCTCTGAGTCACACCTCCAGCCCCTTTTTACATTTTATTTAGAGACAGGGTCTCACTAAGTTGCTTAGAACCTCACTAAGTTGCTGAGCTGGCTTTGAACTTGCAATCCTCCTGTCTCAGCCTCCTGATACACTGGGATCACAAGCATGCACCACTGTGCCTAGCATACTTGAGCATATTTAATCAAATAACTAAAGAGCAAAAATAAAGAGCAGAAAAAGAGGGAAAAAAAGACATTCACAGAAGAGGAAAATCACAAATGAGAGTCCATTTTTTCCTGAGAAAAATTAAGGCCAAAAAGCAGTGTAATCAAATCTTTAAAGTGCTTAAAGAAAACAAGACAAAACAACAACAAATCCTGTCAACTTAATCGGTCAAAGAAAAAATTACCAGAGAAATTAGAAATTACTGTGAAATGAATAAAAATGAAAACAAATAGCAAAAATTATGGGACACAGCAAAGTCAGGACTCAGGGGAAAATTAATAGCTGTAAATACTTACACTTTTTAAAAAATCTCAAATAAATAACAAAACTGTACCCAATAAGGCTCTAGAAAGAGAAAGGTTAAAGAAGGAAATGACTGAGATTGAAGGGGAGGGCTAGGGATGTAATTCAGTGAAAGAGCACCTGCCTAGTGTGTATAAGGTCCTGGATTTAACCCTAAGCAAGACACACACACACACACACACACACACACACACACACACACACGGAGAGAAGATGAATAGGAAAAAAAGGTCAAGAAAAATAATAAAACAAAAAAGTTGGTTCTTTGGAAAGATAAAAAAAAGGACAAATGTTGATCTAAATTGACTAAGAAATAAAAAAAAAGTTGATGATATAACTCAGTGGTAGAGTGCTTGCCTAGCATATTAGATATGGAAAATGACAAACCCCAAAAGTAGTGAGACCTGGAAAAAGGGAAGCAAGAAGAAAAGCCATCCATTGAGAGCATTGATCCTTTCCCAATACATTCTTTTTTTTTTTAATTTTAATATTTATTTTCTAGTTCTCGGGGGACACAACATCTTTGTTGGTATGTGGTGCTGAGGATCGAACCCAGGCCGCACGCATGCCAGGCAAGCGCGCTACCGCTTGAGCCACATCCCCAGCCCTCCCAATACATTCTTTCCTGGTGATAAAACAATCCTGAGGAAGATGTGTTCATCAGACCTGGAAAATCAGTCTCTGGGAAGAGGCTGAAGCATTAATCCTTCTGTCAACAAATCATTCAGATACCAACCACTGACCCCAGGCCCTCCATTAGGTCCAGTAAGATAAATTCCAGAAACTGAACACTGACCCTAGACTCCCTCCCATTTCGCCCCATAAAAGACACCCCAAATTCCTAAGCACTAAAACTGACCCCTTTACTGATTCATAGAACAAACTCCAAATTCCTGGGTGCCCAAAGAAAATTGATATCCTCACTAGACCACCTATCATAATAATCTATATAAGCCCAGGTCCTTTCTTTGTTCAGGGGTTCATTTTCCACTAGGAAAGTGGGTCCCACCACAGCATCATTTCATCCCTATATCCTCTGCTCCTGTGTGAAACTTTGTTCTTGAATAAAGCGCTGAGCTGATTTATGAGGTTTGTGTTGCTCCTGGTCTTTTTGCGCTAACATAGCATGCATTGGGTCTTGGGAATTTGAGGCTAGCCTGACATAGTGAGCCCATGTCAAAAAAAAAARGGGGGAAATGAAAGAAAATATATTTTTATTATTATTACTGACATTACAGAAATAAGAAAGATTATATAAGAATTCTATTAAAAACTATGCRTCAACAAATTGGATAACCTAGATGAAAAATTCCTGGAAAGATATATACTACAAAAAATGGCTCAAGAAGAAACAGAAAATGTGAATAAATATAGCACATATGAAGACTTATCAGTAATCAAAAACTTCCTCATAAAGAAAGGTCCAGGACTAGATGGCCTCCCTTGTGAATTCTACCAAACATTTAAAGAAGGATTAATACCAATCCTTTTCAAGCTGTTCCAAAAAACTGAAGAGGAGGCAAACTTCCCCATTCATTCTATGAGGCAGCATTGCCCCAAAATCAGACAAAGACACTACAAGAAAACTATGTCTGAAAAGGGATTAATATGCAACTGTAACTCAACAACAAAAGAACTAATAACCCAATTTTAAAACTGAACAGAGGACTTGAATAGTCACACTCCTCCAAACAAAAATTTTTTTTAATATTTCTTTTTAGTTGTTGATGGACTATTTATTTATGTATTTATTTACATGCAGGGCTGAGAATTGAACAAAGTGCCTCACACATGCTAGGCAAGCTCTTTACCACTGAGCCACCACCGAGCCACCACCTTAGCCCCCTCCAAAGAAGATTTTTTTTAAATATTTTTTTTTAGTTGTAGTTGGACACAATACCTTTATTTGATTTATTTATTTTTATGTGGTGCTGAGGATTGAACCCAGCATCTTGCACGTGCTAGGTGAGCGTTCTACCGCTGAGCCAAAAATGCCAATAAGCACATGAAATGACAGTCCACATCATTAGTTGCTGTTAGGGAAATATGAATCAAAACCATGAGATACCATTTCATACCCCTTAGAATGACTATTATAAAAAAACAAAAACAAGCCAGGCTTGGTGGTGCATGCCTGTAATCCCAGAGACTTGGGAGGCTGAGACAGAATAGAAAGTTCAGAGCCAGCCTCAGCAACAGCAAGAGATGTGGCTCAGTGGTGAAGTGCCCTGAGTTCAATCCCTGGTAACCAAAAAAAAAAAAAAAAAAAACAACAACAACAACAACAACAACAAAAAACCTGAGAAGGTTTGGTGAGGATGTAGAGAAATTGGAAACTTTGTACATTACCAGTGAAAAACAGTTTGATAATTCCTTGAAACATTAAACACAGAATTACCATATGACCCAGCAATTCTATTGTTAGGTATATACTCCAAAGAACTGAAAACAAGGACCAAAACAAAACTTGCATGCTAATGTTCATTGTAGTTTTATTGACCACAGTCAGAGGTGAAAACCCAAGTGTTCATCAATATATGAATGGATAAACAAAAAACAGTGTGTGTGTGTTTCGCACATGTGCACGAGTGCATGTAATGATATATTACTCAGTCATAAAAGTAAAGAAGTTCTGAAACATGCTACAACATGGTGACCCTTGAAAACATTATGTTACATAAGACAGATTCAAAAGAATAAGCATTATGTGATTCTATTTATATGAAATACMTACAATAGGAAAATTCATAAATATA